ATTATTGTAATATAAATATATACTATAATATATATATATATAGTTAGGGGTGCAAATTAGTGATAAAGCATTTGAGTAGTATACATGAGACTGTGTTCAATCCTCAGCTATGATGTGTGTACACCACAAATCAAATAATTTCTAGTTAAATGGGGGGAAGTAACACACATGAGTAATTATGCTTATTGCTCACTTGTAACTTATTGGGATTAAATGATTTTAATGTCTATCTAATCTCAGCCTCCAAGTTATGCAATATTTGAAATCTGTAATAGTTCCACACAAGTTTAAAGAAGTTGGAGAGAAGAAAAAGGCAGGACTAAAGGAAGCCATACCCAAACATAGCAAGAAAACATGAATATATTAACAAACATTTGTTGAGTAACAATTATATAGATCAGTCAAAATGCTGCATTTGAAGAAAACAAAGATTTGCATAACACAGTCCTTGTCTCTAAACTCTGGTCTCTTCACACCATTTCCCAGTAAAAGAAACAAGGCTCTTTGGACAAATGTCCAACTCTAGGTCTAGGGTTAAAAATGTTCAATAGAAGCTGGGCACTCCAGGCTCACGCCTGTAATCCTAGCTATTCAGCAGGCTGAGATCTGAGGATCATGGTTCAAAACCAGCCCTGGCAGGAAAGTCTATGAGACTCTTATCTCCAATAAACCACTAGAAAACTGGAAATGGAGCTGTGGCTCAAGTGGTAGAGAGCGCCCAAGCACAGAGTTCAAGCCCCACGACTGACAAAAAAAGAAAAATGTTCAATAGAAACCTGGGTCATATAGTCATACAGAAAACGTTGTTCAACCAGGAAGCATGCTGTATGTATGTACAGGTACATACACATGTGAATGTACATACATATGTATGTACGTACATACATACTTACACATACATTTATATATATGTTAACTCTAAAGGTCTTAGCAGTATGGTAGAAGAGCTTGTGTAGTAGGCTAATGCTCCCACTGAGATCATTTAGGAAATCTGGATAAAATGTCGAAGAGCTACATAAGCAAGCAGATCTTAAGTAGCCAGAATTACATTAAGATATGACTAGAGAGGTAAGCTACTATTCCACAGCAGAATTTCCCCCCAAGTCTTTGCCAGTTCGAGGCATGGTTAGAGGCCAAGAATCTTAGTTTTGCATATGTGAGGAAAGGAACCCAGCAGGACTGTCTCAAAAGGACAGAGAGAAATTTGGAGTCTGGAGGGACCAAGATAGCTATAAATGGGTCAGAATAAAACTAAGCTTTTCACAAGGTAGGTTTTTTTTCTTCAAGATGTCCTGAATTCTGCACTTTGGTAGCAGAATTTTAAAAAGCTAAGTGTGGTAGACAAAATAATAGTCCTTTAAATGTTCACATTCTTAGTTCTATAAATGTATTTTATTACATGGAAAAAAAGAGGCTTGCAGATAGATGTATGAATAAATTAAACATTTTTTTTCCAGTCTTGGGGCTTGAACTCAGAGCCTGGGCACAATTCCCGGCTTCTTTTGCTCAAGGCTAGTACTCTACCACTTGAGCCACAGGGCCATTTCCCACTTTTTCTGTTTATGTGGTACTGGAGAATCGATCCCAGAGTTTCATGCATGCTAGGCAAGCATTCTACCACTAAGCCACATTCCCAACCCAGACACCTTTTATCTTAACGAAACCCACTTTGGATCCCTGATCTCCATAACTTTAAAATACTATTTGCTGTTTTGACTCTAGGTTTGTCAGTACAAATCTAGAGGGAAAAAAAAAACCTAAGGAAAAAGCCTATGAGCAAAGTTTTATGTAATCTTTAAATAAGGACTAAAAGTCAGTATTGGCTGGGTCTCAGTGAACATTCCAGGCTGTTAGTTGAAAATCCTAAAGAGCTACAATAAAGAAAGAAAAGGAGGTGGGCTGGGAATGTGGCTTAGTGGTAGGGTGCTTGCCTAGTATGCATGAAGCCCTGGGTTCAATTCCTCAGTACCACATAAACAGAAAAGGCCGGAAGTGGCACTGTGGCTTAAGTTGGTACTATGCTAACCTTGAGCAAAAGAAGCCCAGGAATTGTGCCCAGGCTCTGAGCTCAAGCCCAGGACTAGCAAAAAAAAAAAAAAAAAAAAAGTAAGGTGGTGTACACCTGCAATCCCATCTCTCAGGAGGTGAGAACAGTAGGTCAAGAATTCAAGGCAGCCTGGTGCTGGTGGCTCCCACCTGTAATCCTAGCTACTCAGGAGGCTGAGATCTGAGGATCATGGTTCAAAGCCAGCCTGGGCAGGAAAGTCCATGAGACACTTATCTCTAATAAGCCACTAGAAAACCAGAAGTGGCGCTGTGGCTCAAGTGGTAGAGAACTAGCCTTGAGCTGAAGAGCTGAGGGACAGCGCTCAGGCCCAGAGTTCAAGGCCCACAACCGACAAAAAATAAAATTAAAAAAACAAAGAGCTCAAGGTAAGCCCTGGCTATGTAGTGATACCTTGTCTCAGAAAACAAAACAAAGTAATCACAACAAAGTATGGATTTAATAATGCTTCAACATTGTTGTATTAAATAATAAATGATTCATGCTCTAAAACATTAGTGATATGGGAAAAAATCTAGAGTACATGGGAAATTTCTGGACTATCTCTGTAACATTTCTGTAAATTTAAAACTTACAGCTGGACCTTGTAGCAAATGCCTGTAATGCCTGCACTGGAGAGGTAGAGACAAGAGAATCCTGAATTTTCTTTCAGACTAGAGAACGTAAATTCAAGGCTCAGTGAGAGCCTGTCTCAAAACACAAAAAAGAAAAAAAAAGAAAGAAAAAGAATCTACTGTAAAATTATATATATATAGAGAGAGAGAGAAAGAATTTTCTCAAATGGGTTCAAAACATGCACCCACAGATTGAAGAAGAATCCCAAAGAGAACAACTACAAAGAAAAACCAACATGTCAGAAAATGACAGAGATACACATTGTAAAGTGGTTAGGGAAAAAAAGAAACAGGATTTCAAAAGTGATATTTCAGCTATATTTAGACTCACGATGAAAATAAGAAAACAGGACTCTTCTCCCTGGTAAGGACTGTGAATGTAGTACTGAGCCACTGTGACGATGTGCACAGATATAACAGAACAGCCTTATCTTGGACCCCAGTGAGGCACCATAGCAAGGGATTAGTTACTATCTTGTAACCACTGCAAAAAGAAAGAATGGATCTAAAACATGCTGCTCAAGCCATTAAACATACAGAATCTGAGAGTTTAGAAAGGATGAGTTTGTTATAACTTTGGGGGGGGGAGTAAGTGGGGGAGGTAGGAAGGGAAGGGATGGTAGAAGAAAAACAAAGGAATGGGCAACAATGCTTGACAAGAAATGTACTCATTACCTTACTCATGTAACTGTAACCTCTCTGTACAGCATCTTTACAAGAAAATAATTTATTTTTTTAAAGAAAGGATGAGTTTGTCTCATAGAAATATTTCTTCTTCCCTTCCTTCTTTCTTTCCTTTCTTTCTTTCTTTTTTTTTTTTTTTTGTTGGTCATGGGACTTGAACTCTGGGCCTGGATGCTATCCTTCAGCTCTTCAGCTCAAAGCTAGCACTCTACCACTTGCGCCACAGCGCCACTTCTGGCTTTTTCTGTTTATGTGGTGCTGAGGAATCAAACCCAGGGCCTCATGCATGCAAGGTAAGCGCTCTACCACTGAGCCACCTTCCTAGTCCTCATAGCAAGTATTTCTTTTTTTTTGGGGGGGGGGTCCGGTCGTGGGGCCTGAACTCTGGGCCTGGCTGCTGTCCCTCAGCTCTTCAACTCAAGGCTAGCGCTCTACTACTTGATCCACAGCGCCACTTCCGGCTTTTTTTTTCTTATGTGATGCTGAGGAATTGAACCCAGGTCTCATGCATGCAAGGCAAGCGCTCTACCACTGAGCCACCTTCCCAGCCCTCCCCATAGCAAGTATTTCTTTTTCTTTGTGGTAAGGAAATCTGTAGCCCTGTCGCCAAAAGGGCAGGGCACTGTGCTGAAGTCACTTATCTGAGTCAGAACACTGGCTCTTCCTATTGACCCTGATACTAACCACATAGGTAATTTTGGGTAAACCTTGCATATATATCATCTAGAAAATAAGGAAACAAAATAATCTCAGTGTTTTCCAGAGCTAATATTCTATAGAGGATACTGATAATATCTATACAGGGCACTTGAAAAATCCATCAAACCAACTGTTTAGTATTTTCTTACAAAACACTAGGCATTATTTACAAAGGAAGGTGAAGGAGTAACGCCTGGGCATAGGAAAAGACAAGAAACAGATTTGGGGATCAACCATACAAAAATGACAATTTCAGGTCATAAGAAGGAATAAGCAAAAAAAGTACTGAGAATAAGACCAAGAACTGAGCCTTGAAGAAAGCTCACAGTTGGAGATGCAAGAGACAACCAGAAGCCAATAAAGGAGAAAAATATAAGTAGTTAGCAAAACAAGTTCCATAACTGACGTAAGGTCCAAATAATCAGAGCGAAGTTTAAGACTAGCCAAGAACAAGAACTTAAGGAACAGCTATTAATTAGCTCAGCATGGTGGTACATACCTATAATCCCAGCACTGGGATGGTAGAGGCAAGAAGATTCTGAGTTCAACCAGAGCCTAGGCTACAAAAGACTGTCTGAAAACAGGGACAGGAGGTATTAAATCTGCTAATACGGCTCAAGTAACTCTTTAAAAAAAACTCTGAGAGAGTGATAAAAAGCTGGGCAAAAAAAAAGAGTTCAGGAGACACATAGGTTCATAATACTCCATTGTCTATGGAAGCATACATGCAAACTCTGACATACTTGTTAGGCCGTAGATCTATGAGGAATGAGTTATCTGGAAGAGCTCTCCTATACTGTCTACCTATTATTTTAGTACCAAGACCTCTTCAGGGTCCAGCTGTCCTTACTGACACGATCTTACTGAATTATCAAGAGCATCCTTACTTCCTAAGCAACACACATGAAGAAAAATAGAAAGCGAGAAGGACTACTCACAACACTCCTTCACCTCTTTGCTCCCCAATGAGTACTTGCACCACCATTTTATATCGATCAAATCCCATTTCTAGAAAGGAAAGATAGGAAAGTTACCTATTAGCAAGTATTTAATAAAACTGCATGCAAATCTGCTTGAAGGCAAATCATTCGGAACAGACACTGAATCCACAGGTACTTGTGGAAATAATGGGAAGCTGGGAATCAGAAGCCAGGAGCTAGACTCTAAAGTCAAAGTAACCAAGAGGAAAATGTTGGAGAACTTAGCTAACTTTTCTATTTGCATTCATTCATCTCCAGGTGCTAGTGGCTTAGACCTGTAATCCTAACGACTCAGGAGGCTAAGATCTAAGGATGGCAGGTTCAAAGCCAGCGCAGGCAGGAAAGTCCAGACTATGCGACTCTTACCTCCAATTAACACCAGAAAACTAAAAGAGGTGCTGTGGCTCAAAATGGCAGAGCACCAGCCTTGAGCAAAAGGGCTCAGAGACAGTGCCCAGGCCCAGAGTTCAAGCCCCATGACCCACAAAAGAAAAAACTTTCCTCATCTGTTAAAGGGGAACATTTTGCTGAAACAAGGATACAAGTTGACCCATTGTAACAATGTACAAGATAGTAAATTGAAAATGAACTTTACATCTTGAAGGAAAGGAGTTAAGGAGGTGGGAAAGTGGGGAAGGAAGGGATGGTAGGGGAAAAACAAAGGAGGGGGTAACAATGCTCGATAGGAAATGTACTCATTACCTTATTTATGTAACTGTAACCCCTCTGTACAGTATCTTTTTTTTTTCTTTTTCTTTTTTTGTCGGTCGTGGGGCTTGAACTCTGGGCCTGGGCACTGTCCCTCAGCTCTTCAGCTCAAGGCAAGCACTCTACCACTTGAGCTACAGCGCCACTTCCGGTTTTCTGGTGGTTTATTGGAGATAGGAGTCTCACGGTCTCTCCTGCCCGGGCTGGCTTTGAACCGTGATCCTCAGATCTCAGCCTCCTGAGTAGCTAGGATTACAGGCGTGAGCCACCAGCGCCCGGCTTCTGTACAGTATCTTTACAATAAAAATATATATTAAAAAAATAAATGGGAATACCTACCTGCCTAGGAGGTTGTAAGGTTAGGCAAGATAAGGTATAGCAATCTACAGAGCATCTAGTCTAGTAGCTACACTTGGTAGTCTCTCAGTAAACCTTTGTTTGCTTCCCTATCCTTTCCCTATGTCAGGTCCTGACATAGGCCTGGGGTTGCAGACACCAATAAGACATCCTCTGTCCTTAGAAAACTCATAGTAATAAAGAAGTTTCAATCACACACACACACACACACACACACACACACACACAAACTCAATGAAATTGCCACATAGGGGGCTGGGAAGGTGGCTCAGGGTAGAGCGCTTGCCTTGCATGCCTGAGGCCCTGGGTTTGATTCCTCAGCACCACATAAGCAAAAAGAAAAAAAAAAGCCAGAAGTGGCACTGTGGCTCAAGTGGTAGAGCGCTAGCCTTGAGCTGAAGAGCTGAGGGACAGAGCCCAAGCCCAGAGTTCAGGCCCCACGACTGGACCAAAAACAAAAAACAAAACACCAACTTATTGCTGTACTATTCACAATAGCCAAGTCATGAAAACACCCAAGTGCCCTACAATAGATGAGTGCATCCAAAAACTGTGGTAGCTATACACAACAGAATTTTACACACCTATTAGAAAGACTAATATTATGTCCTTTGAAGGGAAATAGATGGTCCTAGAACAAATCATGTTAAGTGAGGTAAGCCAAGCTCAGAAACACAAAACAATGCATGTTTTCTCTCATATACTGAAGCTAGATCTAAAATACCCTGGGACATGATAAATCAGATAGGATTCTAGACACACACAGGGAGACCAAAGGAGGATATTCTTAGTGGAGGAACACAAAGGAGAACGCCCAGTGCATCTGATCATATAAAATAATATTTATTGAAATGAACTCAGGAAATGGAAATGAGGGTTTTTTTCTTTTTTTCTTTATGTTTTCTTTTCTTTTTGTCTTGTTTATCTGTCTTTGGGAAGGTAAAGGGAGGGACACAGAAATGGAGGGCCGAAGGGTGAACACAGACACGAGACACTATGTTGAAATGAACTATACAACTTGTGGGTAGGAACAGGAGGAAATACTGGGAGAGAATGAGAGAAGGGGTGACTCTGTACTCTTCATCTAACCCGGAACTATAACTGCTCTGTGTATCACCTTTATAATAACAATAAAAGTGTAAATGAAAAAGGAATGAGTACATGTGGGTGACAAAGACAAATCACGTGTCCTGAAGAGACTATATAACAAATGAAACAGAATTCTGAGGTAAAGAAAATGTGCTTGAATAAAAAAATCAAGCTGGGCGCTGGTGGCTCACGCCCTGTAATCTTAGCTACTCAGGAGGCTGAGATCTGAGGATTGCAGTTCAAAGCCAGCCCAGACATAAAACCAGAAGTGGCTCTGTGGATCAATTGGTAGAGTGCTCGCCTTGAGCTGAAGAATGTAGGGACAGTACCCAAGCCCAGAGTTCAAGCCCCACCACCGACAACAACAACAACAACAAAAAAAAATCAAAAGCTGCAGACTGAAAGATAGATGTTCAATACTGACCTCAAGGGCGAAAGGACAGGACTCTGCTTTCCTGCCATGCTAGAGAATGAACCTCAGCCTTATTCGTGCTCAGCAAGCACTTTATCTCTGAGCTATACCCCAGCTCAAGGACTTTTTAGATTCAGATTTCCCCATAGACAATTCATGTTCATTGCCAGAACGCAATAAAGTACACAAGACTCAAGAAAACCAATTATTTTCCCAAAAATGTTATATTTGTACAAGGTATATTTTAAAGTCAAAAGGCAAGAAACAACACAGGAAGTAGAGCATTTATGAGCTTTAGCTGAAAAAAACCTACAAGAGTTCGTTAAAGCCAGGCAATCAGTAGCTTTCACCTATAATCCTAGCTTCTCAGGAAGCTGAGACCTGAGGATTGAGGTTCAAAGCCAGGCCTGGCAAGAAAGTCTATGAGATTCTTTTTTATTTTTTTTTGTCGGTCGTGGGGCTTGAACTCTGGGCCTGGGCGCTGTCCCTCAGCTCTTCAGCTCAAGGCGAGCGCTCTACCACTTGAGCTACAGCGCCACTTCCGGTTTTCTGGTGGTTTATTGGAGATAAGAGTCTCACGGTCTCTCCTGCCCAGGCTGGCTTTGAACCACGATCCTCAGATCTCAGCCTCCTGAGTAGCTAGGATTACAGGTGTGAGCCACCAGCGCCCAGCTTCTATGAGATTCTTATTTCCAATTAACTACCAATAGCTGAAGTAGAGTTGTAGCTGTACTGTAGCAAAAAAAGCTCAGGGAAAGCAGGCCCTGAACCCCAGGACTGGCACCAAAAAGGAAAAAAAAGCTCACCAAAATAAAGAATATATATTGTCCAAGTAGTTTATATGCATGCATGAAAACAGAACAATGAAACTTGTTGAAATCATTTTTGAAGGGGGTCTATGGAAATGATAGAGGAATGAGATTAATTGGGATACATCATATCCCAATTAATGTCACAGTGAACCCCCCCCTTGCACAACTAATGTATACAAAAAAAGAAAAGACCTCATATCCATGAATTTAAAAAAAGGATTTAATTGTGATCAGTTATTCCATTTAAACATTGAATAAGGCCTAGCACGGTAGCTTACACCTATAATCCCAACTAGTAGTAGGGAAGTAGACGTCAGATGGATGATGTTTCAAGGACAGCCTAGAAAAAGTTAGTAAGACCCCATCTTAACCAATAATCCAGGTGCAGTGGCTCATGTTTGTGATTCCACCTACACAGGAGATACAGGAAACGTGATCATGTGATCCAAGGATATCATGGGGCAAAAACACAAACCTTATCTGAAAAATAATTAAGAGATAAAACATCCAGGGTGTGGCTAAAGTGGTAGAGTACCTGTCTGGCAATGTCTGAGTTCCTGAGGTCCACAATAAAAAAATAAAATTACACACACTCGTATAGAATTAACACTATACAACTACAGAAAATAGTATATACAAGCCGGGTGCCGGTGGCTCATGCCTGTATCCTAGCTACTCAGGAGGCTGAGATCTGAGTATCGAGGTTCAAAGCCAGCCCGGACAGGAAAGTCTTTGAGGCTCTTATCTCCAATAAACCACTAGAAAACCGGAAGTGGCACTGTAGCTCAAGTGGTAGAGCGATGGCCTTGAGCTGTAGAGCGCAGGGACAGTGCCCAGGCCCAGAGTTCAAGCCTCACAACCAAAGGGGGGGAAAAAAGTCAGGAAACAAAACACTAAAATATTAACAATGCTTAATTCTGACAGAAATACATGGGATTTCTTCTTTGTACTTCTATATTTTGTTAATTCCTAAAAATTAAAATAAACTCAGGAAAATAAAACAGATCAAAATGGTAAGTAGTTACAATTTTTAAATGGTAAGTATACTGTTCTATATTGTCCAGTTTGATTACAATGAGTGTGGGTTTTTTTTGTGTGTTTGTGTGTGTGTGTGGGGGGGGTGATCATGGGGCTTGAACTCAAGATCTGGGCACTTTTGCTCAAGGTTAGTGCCCTACCACTCTGAGCCACAGCACTACTTCTGGTTTTTGAGTAATTAACTGGAGATAAGAGTCTCATGGGAGGGGCTGGGAAGGTGGCTCAGTGGTAGAGCGCTTGCCTTGCATGCATGAGGCCCTGGGTTCGATTCCTCAGCACCACATAAGCAAAAA